CAGAACGTGGAGGGGCGGAGCTAGGGTCAAGCTGTGAACAGAGACATAACATTAATCCCATCTGGCGTCAAAGTGCCGTAAGTCAGGATAAGTCTGTGTTCCAAATTGACCCGGCTGGCGGTGTTAGTGCTAGCCACAATCGCACTTATTGAAAAGTCCGCCTTGCCCTGGTGGTCGCTACTATTGAAGTGTTTGGAGACGGGACACTGTTTATCTTGTGTAATGTTTCGGAGGTGTTCGGTACACCTGTCCGAGAGACGGCGTCCAGTCTCCCCTATGTATGTCATCTGACAGCGGGTGCAGACAATGGCGTAGATAACGTTGCGGCTTGTACAGAGGAAACCGTCGCGTATCTGAAAACTGCCCTTGGGGAAACGTATGCGTTCAGTCTGGACGACAAAAGGGCACGTGTTGCAACGACTGCGTCCACACGGCTTGGTCCCAAAGTGGGAGGGGGGAGCATTGATACGACTGCGTACAAGCAGGTCTCTCAGATTTTTATCCCGTCTGAAAACAATGAGAGGTGGGGAAGAGAAAATTTCTCGTGTGTCGGTGTCTGCGAGTAGTATAGATCGATGTTTAAGGAAAACACGTTTAGCAATCAGATTGTGAGGGTGATAAGTTAAAATGAGTTTTGTCCTGTCAACATTGTCGCTCAGACGTGGTCTGAAGGCATCAGCACGTGTAATATTCTTAACCCTTTGGAGGGCTGATGAAAGTACTGTCTCCGGGTAAGACCTACACCGGAAAAAGTCTATCATTTCAAGTGCCTTGTCCCAAAAGTCCTCATCCGACCGACAAAGTCGACGAAGACGAAGTAATTGAGAGAAAGGAATAGAGTCCTTACAGGATTTAGGGTGGGATGAAGAGTAGAGTAGATAGCTATGGCTGTCAGTGGGCTTAAAGTAGGCAGAGGTGTGTAGGGTGTCTTTGTGAAGAGTGACTGTAATGTCTAAGAAATTGACTGAGGTCTCAGAGATAAGAGATGTGAATTTAATGGAGGGGTGAAAGGAGCCTACAAAGTTAATGAACAGGTCAAGTTCACTCCTCTCCATAGTGGTGACCCCTATACCATCATCTATGTACCTCTTATAGAATTCAGGGAGGCGTCCAGTATAGCTGCTTTCGACCAAGTGTTCGAAATGCCCCATGAACAAGCAAGCATAGCTGGGTCCCATTTTAGTCCCCATAGCAACACCACTGATTTGGTCAAAGAATTGGCCACCAAACTCAAACGAATTGAGGGTGAGGACTAGTTCAGCCAATCTGAGGAGGGTGTTGGTGGGTATAGATGGGTGGGGTCTAGTCTCGAGAAAGAATTTGAGAGCTAAGAGACCGTCAGTGTGGGGGATGGAAGTGTATAGAGAACATACATCAAGAAGAAATAGATGATGTTTCTTTTCAGGAGGGATTATGATGGATTCAAAGGTTTGAAGAGCATGGTTGGTGTCCTTAATGTAAGTAGGCAGTGAGGCAACGATGGGTTGAAAAACTCCATCAAGGAATTCCGAGATATGTTCGGTGGGGCAAGAGCATGCTGAGACAATGGGTCTGCCAGGGTTACCATACTTATGAATTTTGGGAAGTAGGTAGAAGCATGGCTTACCGAGGTCACTATCGAAGATGTGTAGGGCAGAGGCCGATTTGGGGAGCGCTGATTCTGCAATCATTTTCTTGATAGTCCCTTTCACCATGTCGTTATGTTTGGTGATAGGGTTGTTGGTCCTCGGTTGGTAGAACTGGCTGTCTTCTAGTTGCCTATGAGCCTCCTTGATGTACAGATCTCTGTCCCACACCACAACAGCTCCCCCCTTATCAGCTGGTTTGATGACGATATCTTTCCGACTGCGCAGCTTAGAGAGTGCGAGTGATTCTCTTTTAGAAAGATTGGATTTCCGGAGTGGAGGTAAAGAGAGGTTCTTGATGTCATGTTCCGTGCTCTTTATATACAAGTCTAAAGCTTTAGGCTCATAGGCAACTAGAAGACAGCCAGTTCTACCAACCGAGGACAAACAACCCTATCACCAGACATAACGACATGTTGAAAGGGACTATCAAGAAAATGATTGCAGAATCAGCGCTCCCCAAATCGGCCTCTGCCCTACACATCTTCGATAGTGACCTCGGTAAGCCATTAAATTCACATCTCTTATCTCTGAGACCTCAGTCAATTTCTTAGACATTACAGTCACTCTTCACAAAGACACCCTACACACCTCTGCCTACTTTAAGCCCACTGACAGCCATAGCTATCTACTCTACTCTTCATCCCACCCTAAATCCTGTAAGGACTCTATTCCTTTCTCTCAATTACTTCGTCTTCGTCGACTTTGTCGGTCGGATGAGGACTTTTGGGACAAGGCACTTGAAATGATAGACTTTTTCCGGTGTAGGTCTTACCCGGAGACAGTACTTTCATCAGCCCTCCAAAGGGTTAAGAATATTACACGTGCTGATGCCTTCAGACCACGTCTGAGCGACAATGTTGACAGGACAAAACTCATTTTAACTTATCACCCTCACAATCTGATTGCTAAACGTGTTTTCCTTAAACATCGATCTATACTACTCGCAGACACCGACACACGAGAAATTTTCTCTTCCCCACCTCTCATTGTTTTCAGACGGGATAAAAATCTGAGAGACCTGCTTGTACGCAGTCGTATCAATGCTCCCCCCTCCCACTTTGGGACCAAGCCGTGTGGACGCAGTCGTTGCAACACGTGCCCTTTTGTCGTCCAGACTGAACGCATACGTTTCCCCAAGGGCAGTTTTCAGATACGCGACGGTTTCCTCTGTACAAGCCGCAACGTTATCTACGCCATTGTCTGCACCCGCTGTCAGATGACATACATAGGGGAGACTGGACGCCGTCTCTCGGACAGGTGTACCGAACACCTCCGAAACATTACACAAGATAAACAGTGTCCCGTCTCCAAACACTTCAATAGTAGCGACCACCGGGGCAAGGCGGACTTTTCAATAAGTGCGATTGTGGCTAGCACTAACACCGCCAGCCGGGTCAATTTGGAACACAGACTTATCCTGACTTACGGCACTTTGACGCCAGATGGGATTAATGTTATGTCTCTGTTCACAGCTTGACCCTAGCTCCGCCCCTCCACGTTCTGACCTATCACAGTGAACATTTTTCTCCCCCCTTTTTTTCGCCGCTGCTTATTTAAACTCTCACTCATTTTCCTTCTGCCACACTTCTATTGCTGCCCACAGATACTACTTACCAGCTAAGTGCTTTTTCTTATTTTTATAACGTTATTTTTATAACGTTTTTTCTGTTGTTTTGTTCGCTGACGAAGGCTTTCTGCCGACACGTTCGCTGTTTTGTTGCGTTTAATTTTTCAGGTTTAACCATACTCTGTTTTACTCATTTTATTTTGTACTAACCTGATTGCAGTCTCTCCCCTTATTAGCACTAAAGCAGCATTCTAGCAATGGAATAGAAGGCCATCGTTTCTAAATTATAAAATTATATGCCTGGCTTATACTTATATTGTAACTTTTTAATGTTAAGTTTGTACTGTTGTATTGTAAATTACATTAAATCTCAAATATTTTCCTCAGCCCAAGCTGCCTTTTAATAAAAACAGATGCTCTGGCTGTTGTTTGGTTTATGCTCATTTCAGTCTTTAGGTATACCAATTTTTTATCCATAAAAAATTAAACTTAATAAATACAGTTATTATCTAGTAATGTAAATATAAATATTAAGAACGATGTACTGCAGGGTTTTTAACTTTTTTGTATCTTAATCTTCCAATACAGTAAAGCTAATTACTAGAAATCTGTGCTACATATTAAAAATTAGAGGCTGTTTTGTTGAGGTCCATGCCAGTAGAGGTAGATACATGGATAATATTATATGCTATAGACCCTCAGACACATTTCACATCCATTTTTTCTTTTTATAAAAATCTAGCTCGACACCAATTAACCTTTTTATGTCACACAATTTAATAATTACTGGTGCGCTGTTGAATAGGATATTTAAAATAAGTTGACTTTAACATCATTAGTTCTGTAATAAAATTAAATTAATTTAGCATCAATATGTGATGACATAAAAGAATCTTTTATCACTTAGGTAATTTATTAAACATTTCTATTTGTTTCTAGTATGCTCCCTTTACTGATAAAAGATGGACTGTTTATACCAACCATAGCAACTGTTGGAATTTTTTGGTTAACCACAAATCATTATCTTAAACCAACCAAAAATGTACCCGAAAATTTACAAAAAGCGGTAAGAATTCTTAAATAAATGAAATCTCATAGCTGTACACATTTTTTTACCATAAATTTTTTGTAATCAAAGCTTAAGTGTTGTGTACAAGTCAGTGAAAACTAGTTTGGACAAACTGTTTTAGTACATGTTAACATTTTCTACATACTCAATCAATACTGGTACTATGATTATTATTTCATAGATTGTACAAATTTAAAAGTTATGATGCGCGATACCCTATTTAATTCTGCATTTTTAAACAAGACAATAATTTTACTCATTCCACAGTTTCAATATTCATTACTAGCAGCATGCTGCATTGGTTTAGGAACAATCTTCATACCACCGCCAAGCCGCTACCCAGACCTCTTCCCATTGTTGATATCAATTTTCTCCTGCTCACATTTTATCATGTTTGCTTTTTATTTTCATTATAAACAATTTGATTCAAATTATGATAAATTAATAGAAAAGACTAACGCTGACACCGATTCAGGTGAATTAGATTCGGAAGAGAAGGACAGGAGAAACAGATCCAAAGCCATACGATATAAGGGACCACAGAAAAGTGTGTTAAGGTATAGAAGGATATGATCAACCCAAAGCTTTAATTTTTTTTTTAAATAATAAGGGCAAATACTTCAAACTCTCTAAAAAGGTTTTTCTTTTTGCTGCATTTTAACAGGTCATATAGATATTTTTAAATATGCCACTAAGAAAAAATTATCACAAATTGCACATGAAAAAACAAAAAATTCCCAATATTACAATATGGAAATGCACTGGTGTTACATTATTTTTCCTAAACTAATTCTGTTAAATGAAATGTTTATTATGTACTGTTTTTCTCAAGTCATTTTTTTTCCTTGCCCTAAGCTTACTATAACTCATCAACTTATAATTCATAAAGTTTTTTGTTTTTTTAAATACTAGCAGTGTCCAGTAATTTAGCATTAACCATGTTGATGTGGTAGCTGCTGCTCTGTGCTTTACTGCTTTGTACTTCATTTTATTTAGAGTTTGATATCAAGAGTTTATTAATGATACCGGCACAGTAATGAATAACATCCTATTCCATTTTTTTTTTAAAATTTTTTAATGAATTTTTGTTTTAAGATGTATCTAGAAATTAGTATTGATATGATAACAATTTGTTTAAATTAATGTTTGATGGGAATTTAGTCCACAGAAAGTTTGTTCAGACATTTATTCAAAAATGAAAATAATGGGGGAAAAAAACACCAAAATATTTTTATTAAAAAGTTTACATATTCTCATTTCCCTTCAATTTTTTAAAAATATCTATACTGAACAAATTTTATTTCAAACATACATCTGATCAAACAACATTCCTTCATAAAAATTGGTTTTGTAGTAATTTCTGTTAAATGTTGTTAAATAATGGCATCCATTGCAAGCATGATGGAATTTTTTGCAGTGTAATGACTATGAGATTTTAAAAAGTTATATATTCCTTATGTGTCTTTCTCAAATCCATTTATCATATCTTTATGTGTGAAAACGAAGTAACCACTTGCCTTTATATGTTAGATCTTTGTAATGAGACCATACATCTCTGGATTAACTAGAGAAATGCCTTGGACACCCCCAGATTTTAAAATGTCAATTTTAGTATTAGTCTGACATAATTATTGAGAACTTTTCAATTAATGTATACAAATGTAAGAAATGATGGTTGAATTTGGAGACAAAAACTTAATTTGCTCATAATACTTATATTACTTATATGTAACCTTATTAAAAAATCTTAAAATCCATGTGTCTTAAATTTATTTATCAAGTAGTGAAGTTTTAAGAAGAAAAAAAAACAAAACTTTTTTTAATACATATTTTATTTGAATGACAAAATTATCCAGGTTCTGCACAACTGAAAATAAAATGCATAATGACACTTGTGTTCTTATGTTAGAGAGAAAAATAACTAAAAGATACATTCATGTGCTTTTCATTCAACCATTTACAAAACACCTGGCGGGAAAAAGTTGTATAAACAAATCCATATTTCTTTAAGCTGCTTTGACTGGCTCTGGGGAGATCATACCTTTGTCGTGAATACCGTCTTTATCCACTACACGAAGACGGAACTTTCCAAGGTTGACAATAAATCTCTTTTGAATCTGAAATGAATAGATGTTTTTTTTTTTCAATTTCTTTGAAACAAATAAATCAATAAAATTAAAGTTAATAGATTACTAAAATACTGTCATGTAAATCTGAGAATAGTAAAAACATAGTGGCAAATGCTGTTTTAGTGGCAACATTTGAATAACAATGCCACATAAAAATATGTAAAACCATCAGAATTTTTTAGTACAAATAAGTAAGTAGTTTCTTTTTTTTCTGCCAGGATTTGATATTAAATACTTGGAATTAGATTTTTAAAAATATGTTAAGACCCTGAAAAGTAGCTTTGAAAAATAACAGAGCTTTAACGATGTTTTTATCTGTTTACTGTAAATTAGAGGAATGCATAGTACTGCAATGTATCCAACTGAATTAGTAAATGTGAATGTTTTCATCAGAAGATGTTTCATTAATGGAGAGAGAGTAATATTGACTATTGAAAGTAAAACTGCATTTAAAGACTATTCAAATCCAAAACCCCTTTTTGTTTTGCAATGTTTTTCCAGAATTTTTTTTTTAAGGTTGTCTAAGATAAAACAAAAAAATTCATTTTTTTATAATTTATAACATATACCTCTGTTATACATTTCATCAAGAGATCTTTGGCTCCAGCCAGGTCAAGGTCTGAAATTTAAAAGAAAGCATAATTAAGGTCTTGAATTCTAATTGCAAAATGCTTTTGGATAAAGGTACTATAGAAATAGTTTTAAAAATTATTTCCATTTCCATTTAAACGGAGAGAAAAACTACAAATGCAATTTTGAAAATATTGAAATACTAATATAATTTTAGGAGCAAATTTTTTAGGGTACCAGTACCGGTACCATTTTAAAACACTTTTAATTAAAACAAACTTCAGAAACCAAAGATAATTGTTGAAAGAAATTTAAATTTTCCTGAATTTACCTTTCTGATAGTATTTGTCCATGATACTAAGTGCAAAGAGACTACCATAACCATGAATTGCAAAAGGCATTTTGTTGAGAGATGCTAGGTAATCAAGGAAGTAGAGAGATGCACCTTGTTCATTATCATATCCAGCTATCAAAAGGTTGACCAAATGACTTCTCTGTTTAAGGTGGTACATAAAAATTCAAGTAAGAAAACAGGTAAGTCAACAAAGAGCACTTAACTGTAAAAAAAGTAAACAGAGATCAAAACACAAAATTACCACTATAAACCCTGCAATAATTTTGTTGAAGAACATTTGAATTCCTACTCTTTACTCATTAACCATAAAAAGTAAATGGCTAATACTGTTATTTTGTCTGTAACATGTCTGTGTAACAAGCGTTATTTGTCACTTAATTACAGTCTGATCCTTACTAACAATTAAATGAATGAAATGTTATGAAATCACCATGAGACAATGCAGAGCATCTTTTCATTTCATTACTTTAATTGTATTGAAGGGTAAGAATTCATAATATATATGTGTCCAATATATGTGTATAAACTGGAACAAAATAACTGGTATGGCATCATATAAATATAACTTCATTCTCTTATTAAGAACAGATCAAAGATAGCCGCCTCGATATATTCTAAGAAAATCCTGAATACATAACATTGCAAGTGCAAAACCCTTCTCCATTCAATCTATCCACTTCTTCCTTCCTGTCTCCCTGCGCATGCCCCAAAAATCATAAATAACGAAAAAATATGGAGCTGTTACATTGTCCATTATTTTATTTTTTTTAAAATGATTATTTATAGTCGGAGGTGAATGCTATGTTATAGGCTCCCATTTTTTATGTCAATCCCCATTTGTGCTACCATATCATTTTGCACAACATTTACATTCTGTCTGGATCCACCACAGCTTATTCATTTAGCAAATTTCAACAAATGATTAACTCTATTCAATTCAATAAAGAACAACTCATGATTAAATCTAATTAAAGTAATAATTTTAAAAAGGTACACAACTTACTGAAGACCGCAAACTTTCTGCCATGTTTCTGCGTGTAAAATTAGCGGCTGCATGTGCTGAAAGTTCATAACCTGTAAAATAATATATTTGAGTCAAAATCATCCACAAGTGTATTGAAAATCTTCCTTACTCAACTTTAAATCCAATACTATACCTTACAATGTAGAAAGTCAATGTATATAAGATAATATACTACCAAGAAGAGCTTTATTTATAATTTTAACATAATGAAGTAGATGTTTGCTCAGTTATTATTTCAATATAGTCATCTAACATTATTTAAATATGCTTAGATTAAGTTGGATGTCTTATAATTTTCAAATGACACGATGTCAAACTGAAATTGACATTAAATAGTTATTCAAAAACAAAATTACTACTATGACTTTTTGCTCCTCAAAAGTAAAAGCATTGGTTTCAAAAATGCATGAAAAACTTAATATTACCATTCTTCATTTTATAAAGCTGCACATTCTTTGCAATGTACTCTGAAAACTGTATATTGTCACCAGCTTCTCCACAAACAGCCATCAAAAGTTTATCACTCAACTTGTACATTTTGTCATGATCTAAGAAAATTTTTTAAAAATACAGATATCAAAGAATTATCTTTTTTACACTGATAGTAGTAAGAAAAAAATGTGTCTATGTACAATGGATTTCACTTAATCGGAAACAAGTAATTTTAGCTCAACTAAATGTTATACATTTTTTTAAAGTTCCTTGTCAATTGTGAGAAAATAATCACATAAAAAAAGTAGGCCTAAAAGTAACGTACAAGAATATTGTACTAGTTAACTAGTAGCATCATAGTTTTATCATTTCTGACCTTTTTCCCCCAATTATCCTGCAATTTGCCCATAAAGGTTCATATGAATAATCACAGTGCACTGGTAGAATTGTCTAATTAGAGTTCTTTTCACTTCTTGTGTACTATTTTTATTCATGTATGTATTTACCTGGACATTTTTACATTAATGCCAATATGATACTTCATAGCTGCTAACAATATACAAAACTAAGCCTGAGTGTAAAATAATATTTTTTTTAAAAATGTGAATGGTTTCAAGATCTTTCTAAAACTAAAAGGAAATTTGGAAATCTGTAATATGGAAAAAAGAATTAAAAATTGATAAAATAAATAGGGAAAGTTAAGAACTAAAGTTTAATTAAGACTTGCTACTCATTTTTTTTTTTTAATTCCTGACTTCATAATTCTTACTCATGGCTAAGGTTGATAAAAAAAGCAGTTCCGGTATGTTGGAATGTAGGACAAGATGTCCCTTATCATGAACATGTGGAAGGATACTACAATTTTATGACAAAGTCCTTTTATTAATGGAAAAGCACAGATTCTTCTGCGCAAACGCTCATTTTTTAGTAGTCTCCCTTGCTTTAGTGAGGTACCTACCCTAAATAGTATTTTAGTAATATGGGAATGTGTTGACTCATATTTTATATAAAAAAATAGTCTATATAATAGTCATTGTGAATGATTGTGCACTGAGTCTGAGGAATGAGGTCATAAAATACGGAAGTTTCGTCCATAGTCATAGTAGAAAATGCCAAACGAACTCACACTATTTTTAACTTAAAAATTCATAGCTCAAAAATCTAAAAGTTGATTCTGGTTTCATTTTTTAAAATTTGAAATAAGTATTAGTATTAGAAACTGGACTGTAGACTACACTGTAGACTGTAGAGTATTATAAATTAGGGGTGTGCCGGATCCGTTTTTTCCATCCGGATCCGGATTTTCTTATGTGAAATCCGCCGGATCCGGATTCGAATCCGGATTCCGGAATAATCCGGAATAATCCGGATTCCGGTTTCTCCCGGATTTTGGTACTATTGGTAGATACTTCGGTAAGTCAAGGTGGACTACTACTTTTTGTGTATGGGAATTCGCAATCGGCGCCAAAAAATCCGAGTTTTTAATTTTCCGATGTGTGTGTCTATTTATTATTAAATTAGTACTTTCGATATATATTTGAGTTCCGTTCCATTTGGATAAGTGTCTTACGAGAGACGCCATGTTTCTACGCGTTCGCAGCAGGTTATGCAGCTCGCTCAACCTAATTTCGCCATGGGGTTGGCCACGCCCCCCTTTTTAATGGCGGAAGTTGACGATACTTAGGAAATATTAATTTATTATCACTATTTACATCAAAATAATTGATAACTTGTGTTTCAGAATGCATTTAAAGACATTTAAACTGGAATGTTTTAATTTGAGCTTTAACAACCCGGTAGAATCCATATTATAAATGATCAGAATTTACCGTGTGCAACACGTTGTCATTGGCAACCATTCACAGCCACTTGCATAACTGTATCGTAGTACTACCTCAGAGTTTCATTCATAAGAGTTTGCCGTGTGCAAAAACTATTAAACCATTGGTCAGGGAAAGCTTTAATTAATTATTCATGTGCCAAAGTTGAAAGTTTAAACTAAGTCTAAACAGTATTTTAGTGATAAGGCAGGGAATGCGTTGCCTTATATAAACTATATAGTCATTGCGCATGACGGGATTGGCGGAATGAGATCACAGAATGTGGAGATGCAGTCCATGTTAAAAAATGAAAAACCAAGTCGTACTTTAAAAATTCATAACTTTAAAACTACAACAGCTAAAAATATGATTTTGGTGTTATAATTCTTTAAAAAATTACATCTTTTCAACTATGCCATTGGTTTATTTTTACAAAAAGTTTAAATTTTCTTATCAAAGTCCCTACACTATTGGCCACTATTAGCGGTGCTGACTCTAGCCTCTGGTATGTACGGAATATTAAACATTAAACAAGCTCAACGCTCGAAACAATCGATTAATGTATTGTGATCGTGTGGAATTCGGGAAAGAGAATTACTTTTATTTCAGATTATGATCCGGTGAGTCACAAAATCTGGCAAATTCCAAAATCCGGTATATTCCGGATTCCGGAATCCGGTTGTTCCGGATACATGTAAATCCGGCGGAACCGGATTTCACCGGATAGTGCAAAATCCGGCGGAACCGGATTCCGGACCGGGGTCCGGCACACCCCTATTATAAATTATAGTCTACTACTACTAAATCTTAACTATTCTTTTAGTTATTCTAAACCCTGGCAGAAGTCTATTTTTTAGTAGTAGTTTACAGTTTAATAATTATTTAGTATAGAATAGAGTATCATTAGTAGATACTTCGGTAAAACAAGGGAGACTAATTCAAAATTTGTATCGGAAATGGGCGTCGGCGCAGTAAAATCCAACTTTTTAATTTTTTAAAGTGAGTGTCAATTCATTAATAAATGAGTCCTTTTGACATATAATTGTGTTCCGCTTCCACCTTTTCACTTTGGAAGACATCTTGGCCTACATTTCCATCCAGCTATTTTGCTTTTTCAATCGACCTTTATTTTGAAAATCTTTGGTATATATGAGGCATCTTCGCATACAAAATTTTTTGTGAAATAAAAAGAACAGGTCTTTCATATTAAACCGTAAAAAGCATTAGATATTGAAGTATACGTGTGCCAATTCTCATTGATGTAGGTCGAGTCCGACGTTCGCTACGCTTGTCCCCATGACCCATATCACCACAACATCGCTCAGCCTAATTTTTAATGGCAGAAGTTGCTGATACTTAGGAAAGATTTAATTATTACCATTATTTTTTATATATATCAAAATATTTGATAACTTGTGTTTCAGAATGCATTTCCAAGACATTTAAAATGGAATGTTTTAGTTTTAGCTTCAAAAACCCTGTAGAGTCCATATTATAAATGATCAGAATTTTCCATGTGCAACACATTGTCATAGGCAACCATTCACAGCCACTTGCATAGTGGCTATATCATAGTACTATATCAGAGTTTCATTCATAAGAGTTTGCCGTGTGCAAAATCTATGACTATTAAACCATTGGTCAGGGAAAGCTTTAATTAATTATTTAGGCACTTCACTAAGCTGCGCGCGCCGGTCGATTTTTCGGATGCGAGAAACAGACCATTAACCGGCGACCGGTCAATGCCGGTAGGTCACAGGGTCATGTTTAGATTTCGTTTCTTTGTCTATGTAAGGGAGAGACAATGAACTTCCTATAGTCTATTTTGTGCCCACGAGGAGGACGATCATTACAAAATAAACTTTTTCACCGGACTGACAGGGCTTGTGGCAGATATCTTTCGTTGGGAAAACAGGTAATTTTGCTAGCGCTATATTTCGGAAACCATTATCGTATTGCAATTAATTCCTTTTGTATTGAATGTTAAAGTGATTTAACTAATTGAAACAAGAAACATATTGACATTTAGATAGGCCGTAAATTGTATAAACAGGGCGTTCGGGCGTAAATTTGAGCAATAGCTCCTGACCTTCAACTTGAATTATTTAAATATATGTTGTAATTGTAATAATTATCAAACTTCACAACAGTGAATTATATAATTGGAAATTAAATAATGCCCTTACTGATATAATTTATCTTAAACCCAGATTAGATACGGTAAACAATGAATAGTTGTTGTAGTAATAGGCTCAGCAGCTACTAAACTAAATACTAAATGTCATCACCTATTTCGATTAAATTTCATTATTTTATTTACCTTTGTATTCTAAATAACCTATCTCTCTTTTTTTTCCTTTTGTATACCCTATTTTTTTTTAAAATGTACATTCCTTTCTTGCCTCTAAACTCTACCGCTTTAGCTCAAAGCTATTATATTTGACTTTTCAGACTTAGCCCAATCTTTACTTTGTATATGAAAAATGTGTTAAAATTTCTTAAATTCCTCAGCATTTTCTTTCTTTTAAATACACAGCCTTTTTCAGCCATTGCAGCCAATTGATAGACGAGCTGTCTTAAGGACCCATCAAGACTACCAGACTTTTTTACATAAGTAAATTTATATCTGTTAAAGCTCCTTAATGACTTAATGGATATGAAATACAAACTACTTGACTTAATCTGAATAAAAGTAATGTTAGAACATCACAGTATAATATCTATACATACTGGATATACAGCATAAGTAAAATAACCATTGTCTTAATTAATGAATAATTTAATTACAACATTATTAAACTACTGAATTACACAATCTTAAATTAAAGACATATATATATTAAATAAGGTACCTTATGTTAAATTGCTTATTTTGTGTTTAATTAAATCGATTTTCAATCTCTATTTCAGTTTGTCTGGACTACTAGACCACATTGAATTACAAGGAGTTTGTGTTGCGATGAAGCGGAAATAATGCTTCTTCTGCTTAGAGGTATTGACTTCCCAGCTGTGCCAAGTGTTGCTTCAGCAAAACATCTCTAGATACGTCTTTGGAATATTGGTTTCTAATACCAAAATGTGTCTGCACGTACAATTTCACTTAAATTGTTGTACCAGTCTTTCCTGTTTTAACAAAAACCTATCAGTTGTGACTGCATGTCCAACTGGACAATCCACCAGAGCATTATCTTAACAGCTATTGATATTTTTCACCAACTACCGCATTTATATGGCAATTTATACACTCAGGACTCCTATTTATCATCATGATGGGTGGAAGCAACAATATTGACATAAAGTAAACCATTGCGGAAAACCATTCATTACCAATGGTATCTACACTCGGGACTCCATTCATCTGTGTCATAAACTGAATCATTACCAATAACTGTTACAAATTGGACTCGGCCAACACATAACTTGTGACCATCATCTTTCTATGAAAGAAAATATATCTCTTTTATTCAGCCTTTCAATGAACTATAGACAATAGAAGTACTAAAATAATATTAAGTGATCATCATTTGTACTGTGGATTTCAAATAGCATGGCTACTTGGATATCAATTTCATGGATTGGATCATGGATGATTGGATTTTGATATATGTGATCAGCATTTTTTCAATGCTATTTATCCATTATAATACATTATTTTATAAATCTTTTCTGTGGAATTATTCACAGAATTAATATTAATTTACTAGATGATTGTGTGCATTAACACAATAGGTGGAATTGGTAACATTTATGCAATTTGTATTTTTAATGCACAAACAGGCTAAATTTTAGAATTAAATCTACTCACTCTCTGTTGCTCAAATGCCACTGATTTAATTCATTTATTGATATATTAATATTTAAATGGCTTATTATAAAAGCCCAATGCCTAATGAAACTATGCTGAAAATTTGAAGGCTTTAACTTTGCAGGTAAAATAGTTAAGCCATTTTGAGTATTGAGAACGGGCGCTCCATCTGTAATGAAATTTACTTACCTGCTGTTGTTCAAATCCCGCGCATTAATACATTAGTCAAAATATTAATATGAAAATGCCTAATTATACAAGCCCAATACCTACTTAAAATATTCTGACAATTTGAAGGCTTTAACTTTACAGAGAAAATAGTTATGGCATTTTGAGTATTGAGAACAGGCGCTACATTTTTAATGAAATTTACTTACCCTCTGTTGTTCAAATCCAGGGCATTAATACATTAGTCTAAATATTAATAAGAAAGTGGCTTATTATAAAAGCCCAATACCTACTTAAATTATGCTGAAAATATGAAGACTTTAACTTTACAGATAAAAAAGTTATGGCATTTTGAGTATTGGGAGCAGGCGATACATTTTTAATGAAATTTACTTACCCTCTGTTGTTCAAATCCAGGGCATTAATACATTAGTCTAAATATTAATAAGAAAGTGGCTTATTATAAAAGCCCAATACCTACTTAAATTATGCTGAAAATATGAAGACTTTAACTTTACAGATAAAAAAGTTATGGCATTTTGAGTATTGAGAACAGGCGCTATGTTTTTAATGAAATTTACGTACCCTCTGTTCGTCAAATCGCACACATTAATATGTTTATTGTATTATTTGCATAACAATGATTTATTATTAAAGCCAAAAACTTAATTGAAATGCGTTGCAAGTTTCAAAGCTTTAACTTTGCTGAATAAAAAGTTATCGCATTTTGAGTGTCAAAGATGTCTTTTTTCGGTCACAGAATTTTGGAAAATATTTACTAAGGCTATATAAGGAAAAATTCTGACACTAAAAATGCGATAACTTTTGTTCTACTTAAGATAGAAAGATAAAATAGGTATCAATGGAAAGGAAATACTGAGTCCTTTCTAATGATATAAGTTTCATTAATATATAACAACTTTGAAATTTTTAGTGTAGTACCTAAATTATTCATGTGCCAAAGTTGAAAGTTTAAAATAAATCGATCCTAAACAGTATTTTAGTGATAAGGGGATGCGTTGCCTTATACAAACTACATAGTCATTGTGCATGACGTGATCAGCGGAATGAGGTCACAAGTCACAAGATGTGGAGGTTTCGTCAATAGTAAAAAAAAAATACCAAACGAACTCACACTTAAAAAATTCATAGCTCAAAAAGTACTTAAGCTAAAAAGTTGATTCTGGTTTCATTTTTTTATTTGAAATTTGCTCTAAATAAATGTAATATCTAAAAAATTATTTTGAATTTTTTCATTAAAGTACCTAGTTTTGTATTACTATTAAAGACTATTAGTATTAGTATTAATTAGTATCATCCAGCTAGCAGAGTAGCAGCTAGGCTAGGCTAGCCGATTGCTTACCATCCTTCATCGCAACGACACTGCGTGCTGAAATAGTATCGGTTGCTAAGAGTACAAAATCTTTTCCTTGAATTCCAATTAGACACTCCATGTTGGTTAATTTTTGTGTGTTCTTTCTAGCTTTTCTTAACTCAAAGTCCCTAGTCACTCTTCTTCGTCGCTACTCCAAGTTTTGCAATATCATTTAATGACTTCAAAAACAGTAAATGGGTCAATTGAAACTATAATTTTAAACAAATTATTAGATTGGGAAATATTTTCTAAAAAAATCTTAATAGCCCAGAAAAAAATTTTTAAAATTATATTTTGATAAATATAAACATATAAAAATTATTTAATAGATGTATTTAACGTATTACAATGTGTGTTATTTTGTAGATAGTTAACGGAAATCCCAAACACTGCCGCAATTTTAAATTCCTTATCGTACATGACGAACAGATAGACCGTCGGTTGGAAGGAAGCGGGTCGACTACACAAAAGCAATAAATTGACTGTTGCTAGGCCGGATTTCTCAATATTTGTGTAATTTATTATTTAGGTTTTCATTCATTTAGTGCACCAAATGTTCATTCTAGATGAAACTTTATTTATTTCCTTTGCACTTTCAGTATGTTGTTTCATGGTATTGTCAGTATAATTATTAAAATTAACTTCGCACACAATTTTGTGAGACTTCACTGACAATGAGTCATGATTCATGCAGTTGGATTAGTTGGGTTTAATTTTAATTTTAATGGATGCAAATATTTATGGTATTAAGGAGCATTAATAAACATGTTATATTTACGTTGCCATAGAAAAGTGACAGACGGAACGTTCAGAATCAATTTTTACTTGTTTAAGTTATGGGATGGTCAAGAATACTTCAAATAAAGTTATCTGCCCTTATGCTCTTTTTAGCACCTTATAATACACATTTAAGAAAGTGTCAGTAAATCTACCTTAAACTCATCTTTGAATTAATGTTGTCCTTTATTATTCTTTCCCATAATAGAGCCATTTTTGTTGAGGATTTTTTTCTGAAATAACACTACAGTCAGTACAGCATCAATTTTAATAGCAATAGTGACTCAATAGTCTGATAGTGCAATGCCAAAAATAGCCTTTAGTTGGAACCTTCTTTTCTTGTAGGTCAATAGTAACTTAACTAAAAAGCCTTTCCTTCAGTCATTTAGGATTTCTTCTTCATTCTAAATGTGTTAAATGAGCTTTATTTAAATTATAGTTGCTGACATTTTTATTACCTCTATCTCCACTTCTAGAACTTCTAGTTCTAGCATTTCAAATAGTTCTTTTATAGTATTCCATTAAATTCTGGTGCCTTATTATAAAAATTTAGTAGCTTGATAAGCTGTAACATTTCTGCCTGGATAGTTATAATGCAGTTTATATGTAGGTCTTCAAGAGCAAGTGGCTGGATTCTAATTGGTCTGTTACGTAATGTCCTAACATTTTCAGCATATCTCCTGTATTTAATGTCAATATTTTCACCAATTTTTATTATTTGGCCTTTATTGTGGATGAAACTTCCCTTGTATGTTTTAGTATCATTTTATAGATGGACAGCCTTTGATTGCTTCAGCCTCAACTTCTTTATTAATGACAAAGAGCTTAAAGGTTTCCTCTTATTAGACCCGATGCTTGTTATCACTTCTTAAACTTTTAATTTTTTTTGTCAGTTTCAGTGGCTTCAGCTTTTGAAGCTATATTTGCTCTTTCCTTAATTTGTATCAAAATCTTCTTCTAAGTACTCTGATTTGTAGTTTGATGATCGGCTGAAATCCATATTTCTTGTGTGGATGGGAACATACAATTTTATGTCACCTATTTTCAGATAACTTGTGCTGCCTTTCATTAAAGTGTCTCTGATTAAGTCAATATTGTCATTTTTGGTGCATTACATTCAGTGTTATTTAACCTATTACCTTTGCTGAAATGTAATGAAGATGAGGCTGATGGTTCTTGGTCTCTCTGTCAATCCTATGAGAATCCTTTTTAGTTTTAAGCAGAAGATATCATTATTGCTCTCTCTGTTATGCCATAACACAGTAAAGGAGTTGCAATAAATTTATGCATCCTCTCCATTAAGTCTAAGTCCCCAAGTAATAATAAAATTGAGTTGCTACTGTTTCTAGCATTTTAGAACCTGCTTCCAGGATTAGTAAAGTTGTATTTTTTGGTTCCTGATGCCTAAATTGTTTTTTGCAAAACTTATATCATCATAATTTTCACATTTATATTTTGAAATAAAGAATAAGTTTGATCATCAATGATTTTTATTATGCCTAGAAGAGAAATAAGTATCTAAAAACAGTTTTTGCAAGCTAAGAGGCTAGAGTTAATTAGAGCTAATTGAAAGAAACTAAGGTTACACCCTGGCCAAGGGGCCATCCATAAAAGACGTCCACCAATTTTTTGCTATTTTTACCCCCCCCCCTCCCCCTTTGTCCACTTTTGTCCACTTTTGACTTGACCCCCCCCCCACCCCCTCCCAGTTGTGGACGTCCAAAACATAAAATTTACCGAACTTAAATTAATGAATATTTTGGGAAAATGTACAACAATATAAAGAGTATGTATTTACAAAGATTTTTTTTAGAAATTCCAATTATTTGCAGGCAAAATTCTAAATGAAATAATAACTGTTCAAAAACATTTTATTGAATCACTGTATTAAAAAATGTAATAAACAAATAATCCACCATTCTTCAATCAACGGAAAATTCGGACTGCAGACATTCAAAAATGTTTCGTATAATGAAAACATCTGTTCTTGAGTCTTCAATTGCTAATTCAATTTGAGTGGCAGTCTCTTCGTCTGATTCGTCTGCCATATTATGTTCACTAGCAGGAATAATGCAATGGACGACCTTATGTTTTTTTCATTGCCGCCTGTGATGGGAAATATTTACCGCAGAAACATATTCTCTTGGAAATTCTCCCAGCCACCGATGGACAATAGAGATCAAAAGGCATGCTACTGTAACTGTGATCGGGCAGTAAATTTATGCAAAACTGCTGCACTCAAAAAAACACTACAATGTGGACATCCACTTTGTCCTAAACCCCCCTCCCCCCCTTTGTCCACTTTAATCCACTTTTGTGTGGACGTCTTTTATGGATGACCCCCAAACATCCCTTATTCATTTCATTTTCACTTATACAAAAATTTCAGGACAAAAGTTAAGTAACTTTAAATATGTTTAGTGAAGGTATCTAGCCTTCAAATTATCTGTCTAAAAATAAATAATTTATTATTTTTTAAACAACCAGAAATTATTGATTTTAGCATGAATTAATATTTTAAAGATTCATTTAAAATATAAAAGATTTTTAAATTCAACTAAGAGTAGGAGGTAAATCAGTTCCTTAATTAGTGTTGGAGGGACATGTAAGGGTGGTACCTTTGACAGAATAATAAAACGGAAAGCTTCTATGTCTAGCTATTTGTATCTTGTTGGGGGAACATGAGTATGAATCAAATTTAATTGCATTGTGTAATAACAATTTATATTGGAAAAATAAATATTGATAGTCCTAAAAAAATTTCCCCTTTTAATTTTTTTGTGTTTCAGTTATCTTCAAAACAGCTGAATAACTATGGCAGCTGTGAATGTACACAGCACAAATGCTTCAGAAAATAATCTCAGTCGACACGATATGATAGCTTGGATCAATGACACTCTGGCAACAAGTTACACAAAAATTGAAGAACTTTGTTCAGGTTAAGTTGTTGTATTAAATGCTATTACCTCTTTTATAGGACCAAAACAGTAAACTTTAATTTAGATTATTATTTTGTTTTTTGAGTGAGAGTAATGAGAAAGTTTAAATCTTGAATATTATTTATTTTTTTAGGTGCAGCATATTGCCAGTTTATGGACTTACTTTTTCCAGGTAACTTTGTTTTGATTAATTTTCAATTTTTGAAAAGCAGTTTTTCTTTTATGTTTAAACTTTTAAAGTAAAGAATACGAATTTGATTATATAAATGTAAAAATTGCATATATTTATTCAAGTTTTGTGGAAAAACATGCCTTCTTTTAAAAATTTTACTAAAAAAAAATAATAGAAATAGCAGAACTGTTAACAAATGAAGATATTGATATTAAATGTAAGTTTTTTAGTTTTTGATACTTCTCAGAACAACACACAAATTTCCCCAGTGCAAGATTTTTGTTATGGGATACCAGGAATAATTACACATTTGTGTGTAATAGAAAGGGAGCAAAGGAAGTGCATTTTTAGGTTTACACAAGGACATCAAAAGATGATTTTATTATAATAAATAGCTATGTTTCTTCATGACTTAAGCAAAAATATTTAAAAAATTTCATATAGTAATTTTAAAATAATTTTGTGCTTTAAAATTGTAGTGTGCCATTGATTTCAAACATTTAATTGCACACTCTTACAGAGAATTTATTAATTTTTACTTTAACTTTTTGAATAATAGTATTTTTATACTGAGGAAAAAGCAGTACCAATCCCATTACATTAAAAACTAATAAAAAATATCTTATAAGTAAATTTGACAAATATATCTATGACTTCTACTGATTTAATAATTTAATTTCTTTTCTTGAAACCTTAACTTTAAATTTTGCAGAACTTATTGCTTTTTACAATTTTTCACCTTGACACGTTTATGGTAATAAAATTTGGATATTTTCAGGAAGTTTAAGTTTGAAAAAGGTGAAATTCAACACAAAATTAGAGCATGAGTACATCCAGAATTTCAAGGTCCTTCAGGTGAACTTTAAAAAACTGGGGGTGGACAAGGTGAGAGAGCCACTGGCTGCAATGCTGACATTACTGCTACTTCCGTCAACCATCCCACCCCTATCATCTACATTATGGGAATACTCTATGCATTTTAAAAAAATTTTTTTAACTATTCAGCTCATTTAAACAAAAATTCAAATCTAGCATTGCATCCAGTTCTATTAAGTCTTGTTGCTTTGAGAACATTTGAAAATAGTTGTGATTATTTTTTTTATTTCTGTTTATAAATGAGCTGGAAAGTTTTATTTCAAAAAGCTGTACCGTACCTCTAAATTATTGTTGGGCCAAGGTTGACTTAGTTTACATGCATAGACTACAGAAGTCAATACATAGGGACAGTTGTGAAAAATATATTTTTTAAAATCAAATGGTAACCTTCTTCAGCACTGGCCTAACAATTACTTGACATTTACTGTTGCCTTACTTCTTGCATGTGTATGGGAGCATTTGCAACTAACATTCTCACATAATTTTACTACTATTCATGTTATTTAAAGCTAAATACTCTTGGCTTAGAAAGTTAATTGCTTATTTGCAGGCTGTGTCAGGGTTGAAGAAATATTTTCAAGCTTCCAGTAGTAATTTTGTGTGATCTGCACTGATTAGACAGATTGCACATGATCACACCCAATAGCCATTGCATGCTTCTTTTGTGAAATGTGTAGATTTATTTAGGCTTTTTGAGACACCTCCACAAAGCATTGTGAAATGCTCCCAATTGCATCATTAATAAAAATTCTACTCATTACACTATTATTGCTGTAAATGCTTGAAAAAGCATCCAGCATGTTGGTAAGTTGCTGACCATTTTACTGGTAACCTTTTTCTTCCTAAGTCTAATGGTCTGGGTAAATGTTGTTTCATTTTGTTGTGTTTGATTTTTTAATAAATTAACTTATTAAAGATATATTTTTTTTCAGTTTTTACAGCAGTCACCATGTTGATATCGTATAGATATCACAAGTATATCCCAAAGTGAATGGCTCCTCTTCACTTACTTCATCACTGTGTATTGTGTGATATAACCTTTTAAAATTTATCAGTATTTTGAAACTCTCTTGTCTTCCAGGTAGTGTGGTACTTAAAAAAGTAAAATTCAATACAAAATTAGAACACGAGTACATACAAAATTTCAAGCAACTGCAAGCCTGTTTCCAGAAATTAGGAGTGGATAAGGTGAGTCTGTGGCAATTTTCGGCAGGGCCTTAGCCAGGGTTTGACTCTTTTATTTGTGTTCACAACACAATGGTCATACAATTATTTAGAGAGATTTTTTGTTAAAATATTGATATTCCTGTAATTTTATTTTTAAGGGTTGTGGGAATCTGCATGGTTAGAAATCCCAAAAACATCCCCTGGCTAAGGTTTTGTCTTTGGCCAAAGACTTTCACTGTGCTCACTCTTTGTGTGATTATTTTATTATTAGTAAAATGAGTGTTTTGTAGACGTTTTAAGTGTTCTGTTCAGCTGCTTTATATTGTACTCGCATATTCAAAGTAATATGGCTGGAAAGATTTGATTAATTTCAAAGCATATATGCAGGATTATATGTAAATGAGTATAAAAACTCTTGATTCTTATTGTTTTCCATTGCTTAACAATTTGGATGTTTCTGGAAGAAAGACCATAAACATTACAAGAATTTAAATGCAACTTAATAAGCATGATTCTTTAAAGAATACTTAGAGATGCATACACATTTTTCAGTGCAAATCTATATAACTAGATAAAGACGCTTTGAAATATTACTTACACATTAGATTGAAATCAGCAGCTTTTCTTTCGCATATTTATAATAAAGCTTTGTGTTGCATATTCATATATTCTCTTTTTGATATACATTTAATAGACTATGTATATTGTTTTCATTAGATTATTATTTTTGTAAAAGTTATATAGACTTAGATTTGGTGGTGTAATTCATAAGGTGCACATTTCTACACAGAAAATAAGATATGCTACTGAGTTTTTTTGTTTGATAAGATGTTAATCATGCTTTATTTAATCATTATAATTCATTCACTTATAACAGGGGTCTCAAACTCAAATAAGCCGGGGGCCGCAGGAGGTAGAGTCTGAGTGAAACTGGGCCACATTAAGCAATTCACACAAAAAAGTGATTAAAAATTCAAGTACAGCTGTTACCCCCTGCTAAACTTTATTAATAACAAATAATACATTAAGGGTTCTTAAGAACTAGGCTTCACTTTTTTTCTTCTTTTACTTGTTGCCAGAGACGTGGCTGCACTTCTTCTTAGACAGCTGAGCAACTTTGGCTTGAGTGAGGAAGCAACTGAGACCCTCAGTTTAGCTTGAAGATGCTCATCAGTAAGTTTCGCCCTGAACTTTGACCTGTTAAAGTTCATAGTGGAAAAGAGCTTTTCTCACAGATAGGTACTCCCAAAAAGGCACATGTTCCGCTTGAACAACCTGGATATGTCATGGAAGATGGAGGCCAATTCTCTCATAAATTGTCCAAGCTTGACTGTTTTTCCATTCCCCCCCCTGAACTTAGCCTTGAGTTCAGAATTGCACTGAAGTTCAATCAGCTCCATTTGAAGCGCAAAAAAAAAAAAAAAGATTGGGGGTGGGGGGCATATTTCCACATTGAAGGAGAAGGGGTCAGCAAAAATTTGAAAAGTGGCTCTGTGTGTTTTGAAGTCTGTAAACCTGTGATCATAAATTGTCCAAGCTTGACTTGTTTTCCATTCCCCTCCCTAAACTTAGCCTTGAGTTCAGAATTGCACTGAAGTTCAATCAGCTCCATTTGAAGCGAAAAAAAAAAAAAAAAAAGATTGGGGGTGGGGGGCATATTTCCACATTGAAGGAGAAGGGGTCAGCAAAAATTTGAAAAGTGGCTCTGTGTGTTTTGAAGTCTGTAAACCTGTGATCAAATTCTTCCTGTAGCTTTTCAATGGCATCATTATACTTACTACTGAATGGTGTGCCCGAGTCCATGAGTACTTTGAATGTTGGAAAATGGAAGTCTCTCTCAGATAGCTGGGCATTCCATAACACAAGTGTGTGCAGAATGCCTTGACATTGTCATAGACAAGCTGTCCCTGGCCTTGTAACTTCTTGTTGAGTACATTCAGCTCCTGTGTAATGTCAACAAAGAAAAGCAAAGTCCATAAACCATTTGGGATCATTTAGTACAGGAACAACCACCCCATCCTTCTCCATGAAGGCTTTGATTTCTAATTTCAAATCAAAAAACCTTTTCAAGACGTTTCACCTACTAAGCCAATGTACCTCGGTGAATTAGATAACATCCTCATATGCTGACTCTATTTCCTCTAAAAAGGCATGGAACTGTCGGTGTTTAAAGCCCCTGTATCTGATATGGTTGATGTATTTCACAACGTCAGCCATCACATTGTAAAACTTCAGGCAATTGCTGCAAAGTGCCTGCTGATGGATAATGCAGTGTAGTGCAATGGCCTCTTCCACACCCTCCTCTTCAAGTTTTCTTTGAACATGTGCGTAGAGTCCATTTATTTTCCCTGTCATTGATTGTGCACAGCTGGTGGAATATCTCCTGAGCAGTGGTCTGCCCATGCATTGGAATCACTTTGAGCAACTCCTCCATCACTTCAAAATTATCAACACCACTGACATAATATCTTGCGAGATGTGCAGTGTCAGTAACATCTAAGCTCTCATCAAGAGCGACTGAGTATGCAAAGTTGATCGTAAAAGTAACCTGACATCTCAGAATAAACTTGCAGCTTGTAAAATGCAATTTTTGATGATCTCGTCTTCTTTGAAATACTTTCCTGCCTTAGCAATCATCTCACTCACAAAGTAACTAGCTTCAACTGCTGCATCACTTTCTTTCTTTGCTTTCTTGGAAAAATCATGCTGCCTCACTGTCTAATGTTTAATAACCCGGGCCTCTCTCTCATGGCCAGATATTTTGCATACTCCTCAGCATGTGTGGTTAAATAACGACGCCTGATGTTGTACTCTTAGTGCACCACAACTTTCTCGGTGCATATAAGGCACGTCGGAATGCCCTGTGCTCAACAAAGTAATGGTGCATCTCCCACTTTTCTTGCAATTGTCTGCGCTCATCGCCAACCTTTCACTTCACAGCAGGTTTTGAGAAAGACATGACTGGGGTCGGATGACACAAATATTTATTTGCACTGTTTGATGAAATATATTTTCCCTCCACTCTGTAACTCTCCCAAATTATGTTTCACGAGACCAGGCTGACAGGCTCGGAACTTCCGTCACTCGTCACTGGTACACACTGGCGGCAATTTTAATAGGGATTGTTTGATGCTGTGTTAAAGTGCTCCGATTTACACAGATATGGTTGTGTATTACTCACTGACGTTTTTAACATTTGATATACAATATTGGAAGCTTGTTTTCTCAAAACCGCTCTTTGACCATGTTTGTCTCATAAAATGCTATCAAATAAAACCTTTTAGTACGATTTTAAAACGGTTTTTACCATTATAATCAACGTCAAAACCTATAGGTACTTTAATAAACATTATAAAAATCAGAATTATACTAATCAAGATTTGACTGAAATCATCGCAGAGAGTCACATTATAGATATAAGAATGTGGACAATGCGGGGGCCGCATTAATACTAAACGTTGCTGTCAGGTAGCGAGCCGCAAAATATTGTACCGCGAGTTTGAGACCCCTGACTTATAAAGTTTTATTACCAGATCTTTCATCATTCCAGTGTAATGAAGTCTTTGCTAGTCCACCTTAACTGATAAAATAAAGATGTATGGTTCATATGCTAATACTAATAAAAGAGAAATGGGAAGCATTTTTCTGCCAAATTGACATTTTTGTGAGTTAACAGAATAATTTAAAATTTATTAAAATTTAGAAACAAAGTTTTTTAGTTACATTTTAGATGTTCTTTTTTTAGAACTAGGACTATACTGTAAAATCTCAGACCAGTCCTTATTATATGAAATCCAGAGAAGAGGTCACAATAATTAATAGCTTAGTAAAGACATAACAGTAGTTTCTATTGAGAAATGATAGCCATACTTTGGTTAAAAATGCTTTGATTCTAGACATACAAATTTAGTGTCTTGATTTTTTTTTTTTAAGTACCGATACATATCTTTGATCTGGTTCAAAATGACCTAGTTAATGCTTACTTCCTTGCTGGCGTGCATTTTAATCCATTGCTGGGTCACATGTTGATCAGGAAAACCATTGTCCATATTTTTTTGGTTGTTTCATCCATGTAATGGATAGGGGTCCGAAACAATTCCAAGTCCATTAATGATGATATTAGCAATACAGTAGACTGATAATTAATTTAGAAGTAAATATGATTTTTAATTTCCAGCTATTGGGATTCGGTGTACATCATCATCTGTTAAATTGCACTCATTGTTAATAAATCACAATTTTAAAGTGATTTAAATTCATGATCAGCTGGCAAGTAAAATTATAAATGTGTGTGTGTGTATTTAAAATAGCTATACCTTTTTGTTACAATCATATCATATATTACATTTTAGAATTTCACATAGCTTTCCAGATTGTTTTTTTAAAAATTACAATGCTAATTATATGAATATTTTTTTTACAGCAATTTATTTTTAGATGTGTGTTTTTGAATTTGATTCTTGCTAGTACTAGTAGGATTATTTTTTTAATGGGTACTAATCAACTTATTAGTAAAACTGCTAACTTTTGTGTGCATGATCCTTAACCCAAATCCTAAATTGGTGTCATCAATTTTATTTGGACTAATATTTTATATTCCTGTTTCCTTTTTAGTTTTACAATGTAAACATGCTCATAAAATTACCTAACAGAAATGTTAAATTAAATATAAATAAATATCAACTCATTGTCTTAATTCAAATTCTAGATATGTTTCTGGTAGACCTTAAAGTGGTACAATCTGAAGTCTTTGAATTCTTTAAAAATCCAAAGATGTTTATTTAAACAGATAGTTCCTGTAGAAAGGCTTGTGAAAGGGAAATTCCAGGACAACTTTGAGTTTGTTCAATGGTTCAAGCGATTTTTTGATGCAAATTATGGAGGCCAAGAGTATGATCCAGTGTCTGCAAGAGGTGGCGAACAACTCGGCGCTGCCAAGCAGGGTGCCTTGAACAAAGCACCAACAGCTAAACCTTCAGTCTCAAAAACAAGCCAACCACCTCCTCAAAGAAGTAGGTTTTTGGTATTATAATGGTAGTAAAATGATGTTTTGTAGAGAAAATTGATTTTTATTTGGTAATTAAAAAATAAAGTTAAGTATTTAAATAAGGCCCTGGATGCCAATGATTAAGGGTCTATTTTTCTTGTGAACTAAGATGTGTCCATAAGTGCTGATTCTGTATTGGAGAGCAGATAAGGAGTACGCAACTCTGTACATCTGTCTGTGTAGTTAAAACTCTTTTTTTTACTTGCTTTGTTCAAACTTTTATCCGATCTTTTGTGACAGTTGTTAAACAGCCCAACAAGAGCCCTGCAAGTAATCAGATCAGAAGGTCTCCAGGTGTGGCTAATAATGCTGGTGGGGACAATCATGTCATAGAAGAACTCAAAGGCCAGGTAATTTAAATTTGATTTTCTATTGTAAGCTTTCAGTCTGATTTTAATTAATTAACGATTTTCAGTACTGAAGAAATTTACTAGGCTAGTCCCTTTATAGCTTAATGCTGTCAAAAATGCCCATTTTCAAAACTGCCAGTTTTTTCTTAGTTACTTAGTACAATGGACTGGGAGAAAGACTTGCTTTCAGATATTTAGTTTGAACCTCTTTTCAACAAATGGTGTTTCATTTCATATGATTTTTTTTTAAAGTTGTGAACTTTGGCTTTAAAGAAATATTAAGCAATTTATATAATTTTATAACGCTTAAGGTTTAAATGAACTTCAAGTTTTGATGATTTTAGCAGTGGTAGGGATGAATCGGGCATTGATATTTATATAAATGATGATAGAGATGATGAATCGAGTAACACATTCATCAAAATAAAATAAGTAAAACAAAGTAGGGTTAAACCTGAAAAAATAAACGCAACAAAACAGCGAACGTGTCGACAGAAAGCCTTCGTCAGCGAACAAAACAACAGAAAAAACGGTATACAAATAAAAATAAGAATAAATAGCACTTAGCTGGTAAGTAGTATCTGTGGGCAGCAATAGAAGTGTGGCAGAAGGAAAGTGAGTGAGAGTTTAAATATACAAGCCGCAACGTTATCTACGCCATTGTCTGCACCTGCTGTCAGATGACATACACAGGGGAGACTGGACGCCGTCTCTCAGACAGGTGTACCGAACACCTCCGAAACATTACACAAGATAAACAGTGTCCTGTCTCCAATTATTTCAATAGTAGCGACCACCAGGGCAAGGCGGACTTTTCAATAAGTGCGATTGTGGCTAGCACGAACACCGCCAGCCGGGTCAATTTGGAAGACAGACTTATCCTGACTTACGGCACTTTGACGCCAGATGGGATTAATGTTATGTCTCTGTTCACAGCTTGACCCTAGCTCCGCCCCTCCATGTTCTGACCTATCACAGTGAACTTTTTTCTCCCCCCCTTTTTTCACCGGTGCATATTTAAACTTTCACTCACTTTCCTTCTGCCACACTTCTATTGCTGCCCACAGATACTACTTACCAGCTAAGTGCTATTTCTTATTTTTATTTGTATACCGTTTTTTCTGTTGTTTTGTTCGCTGACGAAGGCTTTCTGTCGACACGTTCGCTGTTTTGTTGCGTTTATTTTTTCAGGTTTAACCCTACTTTGTTTTACTCATTTTATTTTGTACTATCCTGATTGCAGTCTCTCGCCTTATTAACACATTCATCAACACCCTTATGTCTATTTACTGTGAAGCCAGGCCCTAAACATAATTATTTGCCTGATGATGCATTAGTCGATGAATATTTTTCTTTTTTTATTCTTGACACTTTCTACCAAAATGTGGCAAATTTATATATGCCTTGCAGTATGCTAGAAAAAAATGAAAAGATTCATAATGGCATCCAGTTTGTTAAAATGAAAGCAAAAGTTTTGTCAACATCATTAAGTTTGGGATTCACAACCGGCATTGAATCTTACTGATCTATAGATTCTAGACTTGGGGGCTCCAGCCATAATGGAGAAAAACAGACTTTAGGAGAACAACCAATATGTACATCTCGATTGCAGTTTGGTTGCTGGTCTATATTCATCTTTTCAAAATATTGCATCTGATAATGTAGAATTTCCAGCAGCACGATAGTTCAGGAAAAAGACAACTGTTGAAGTGGAAATAATTTTACTTTAAAAATCTTACCAATGATAAACTACTGTGTTATTTTCTATTTATAGTTACCGGGGTATAGGAAATTTTTCTTATGAAAACAAAACGTGACTTAAAATAGAGTTACGCCCCTTAGCTTGGGAGGTAGAAGAAATGTCAAGAAAAAGCTGGTAAACATATGTAACTGAACATTTTCATCCTTTTAAAGAAAAATAAACTTTGTGAAACTTTTTGACCTTAGTAGGCATGTATGAAAGTGAACATGTCAAGTAAATGGTATAATTAATCTTTTCAAATGAAAATTATGGGGAATAAGAAAGAACTAGCACTAAAAGGCAACCACCAAGAACTACATAGAGTATTGCTATAGTTCTGTTTGAGAGACAGTTTTAATACATTAACATGTTATAACCTAGTTTTGCGGGCATCCGTCCTTCACAATGTGACTTTGACGTAGACGAAGTAGGCCTGGAATTATTCTTCTAAGAATTATAACCTGGTTCCCTACACAGCAAATCGCCTATCTCCACGCCGCTAGAAAAAGGAAGGGAACATTATGTAATGATACAGCTTGGCACCAGTGGCGTCGCAGGGGTTGTTGGAATGTTTCATTGCGTCAATGTTATCCGCCTACAGAACTCCATCTCCGGGTTTTGAATTCAGAGTTTCCTTCTCTTAGATGAGTTGCCATCCAAGGCTATCGAGTCCCATCCACCCGGGGTGCTGGTGATGTTTATGCTTGACAGGGCTTAGGTGGGGATTGAACTCCAGGCTCACTAGACCTTTTATAACATAGTTACCTAGTATAATTATATTTAATTTAGTTCGCTTATTCACTTTCAGATTGAACAATTAAACATTGATAAAGAGGGTTTGGAGAAGGAGAGAGATTTCTACTTTAATAAATTGCGTGAAATTGAAGTGATCTGCCAAGACAATGATGGAATGACCCACATCAAAGAAATAATGGATGTTCTCTATGCAACTGAGGTTAGTTTTTAGGTTCTTTTTATTTACTTCATTTGAACACAAGGTAAATTTCTATTGATATTTATTAGTGATTCTTAATCACAAGCTGATTACATTGACAGACCAGTAAAAAAAATTCATACATATTTTTTAAAACCCTTTTTGCTCCCTCATCACGAAAACAAGATTTCAAACAAAACATATGAAAGAATGGAAACATTCGGATTTCTTAAAAAAAAAAAAAAGACTCAGCTTGTATTGTACATAACAAGATATAAAATTATAGTCCATCATCTCTTAGTATAAGGACTCCTCACCCTCATCACCATAAATGCTTTTAGGCTATCAAATGTAGTTTCTAAAGTGGTTTAACATTTCGGCTAAATTGTTTAGATATGGCATAGATTTTGAGGGGGGAAAACAATTAGGTAGTTCTAACTTCCACATAGATGATTTTGTTCCAAATGATACCAGGCATATTTTCATTTTAAGAAACCAAATCAAGGTGAAGAAATAGTCAGTTTGAATCTAACTATTTTTAAATATAGTGTGTTTTAAAAGATGTATTTACGCTTTATTCATATTTGTAATGTGACTACCTCAATTTAAAAATGAAGGTCTTCAGCTTTTTTGGTTGATGTATGAAATAAAAGGAGCATTTAATTTTTTTAGTATTTTAAAATCAATATAGAGTAAAGTTTCTATGTTAACTTGTTAATCTAGGGCTTTGTCTGGTCAGCTTTTTTGCCCGTTTAATTTTTCCATTGAATTCATAGATGGTGTTAAATTTGTGTGCGTTTCATCAAATGTTAATATGATAAAATTGGTTACAATAGTACTCTCAAGAAGATGTTGGCTGAATTATTTTTGTAATGAGCGCAGTTATTGTTATGATTCTAAAAATGCCCCATCGGATTGGAGATATAAACTACAGTACACTGAAAGCGCCTTTTACATCACTTCAAAACAGTTGAAGTTCTGGTGATTTCTATTTTGAGACAAGGGTAATGTAAAGTCTGAATACCATGTCTAATTACAAACCTTTTTTCTTTTCTAGTCGTCTGAGCACTGATTTGTTTTCTTGAAGAGATATTTTTCAAGTGATTTGATGTAAGAGAAGCCCTGGTGCGATCATGAACATTTTTTTTGTTATAAATTCTGAATTGCGTAATATTCCCAGTAGTTTAATAAATAAAGCTTTGATGGATATAAGCAATAAATTTTTTGGCCTCTTTTGTGGTGTAGGTTAGTTTATTTTAATTAAGATGTATCTCAACACTTTGGTTTCAAACTATATGCTTAGTTTTCTGCTGCCATATCAAATGACATAACTTTTACCGTTTTTTTTCTCCATATTTTTCAGGAAGGATTTGCTCCACCCGAAGACGATCCAGAATTAGAAGGAGAACAAGAAGAATACTAACAACTCTAATCAATTTCCCAAGCTCTTTTTTTAAGAACTGCTTTCATTTCATCAGCATCATCATCTCACCCATGTATATAATAATTAATTTTATAGACTATCAAGATATACATAGCCTGAACCTTGTGGTGCAAATGATCAAAAAAAAAAAAGGAACCCTACCTACTCATGAGTGAATGAAACAGTTTTGACCACTTTCAGCCTCACAATTCAATGTTACCACTGCTAAAAAAAAAGTCCTTGACATTTCATATTATGGTGGTTTTCTCTGGTGTGTATTGACTCAGTTTTATTATTTTTAGTTCTGTACTGATGTTTGTGATTCATGGTAAATTTTCCACTTGAAAAAGTTTTATTAGTTCGGATATTTAAGCATATGCTGGCGTAAATGCAGGTGTAATTTTTAATAGGGAAATTATTTAACATTTATTTTTGATGTTCCTAGACAACTTGAAATCCGACGTTTTATCTCTTTTTCACAACAGTTCAGGTGAAATAAAATTTCTACTAATATCTTAAGCTTGCCATTATTTGGGGAAGGGTAGATAATATGTGTGTCCTCCTATATATTTGCTTATGTCTAAAAGCTCTTGTTTTGGTAATAATCACATAATTTGTTATTGCAAGTAATGCCCACAATGGTTTTCTGAATAAAATGTATAACACTTTTTCATAGTTATCTTTTACTTTACACTTAAATTTGAAGGCAAATTTACAATATATAAAGTTAATTTGTTAATTAATTTCAAGTAATTAGTGAACATTTTGTAGAATTTTGTCCGGTACTGTTCTTTCTATAAAATTGTTATATTTCATTGAGTGGCAGTTAATGACAGATTGTACAAGCCCTCATAAATGTCTACCTGTTGTTATCAGGGATGGATGTGTATAGAGAAAGATAAAACTTAAGATCTAATCCATTCATAATTGTCTGACAATTAACTGGGTTGTACATTAATAATGGGTGGATCTTATAGAACCTACAGTTTTAGTTAAATCTCTAGTTTTCTCAACGACAGTTTTTACCAATGGCTGTATTCTTATTTTCTGCTGGTTAACACATTGAATGAGCTTCATGTAAAAGATAAAAGAAGACAACAGATAGGGTGCTAAGTGAAAGGCAAGGCAGGTATTTGTTGAGAATGTTTCTATGATTTTGCTTTGAGGTGTCTTTTTAACAAACAAAAAACTTCCATGTTTGAAGCTAAGCTTCTGAAGCTGTGATTAATTTGTCCAACTTATTGTTAAAATTTGTTTTTTCTGCTGCCCTGCCTTAAAAATGTATGTTTTTGATTGTATGAATTGACCTCACAACTACCGTCACTTGAACAGTTCATTAAACTGGCAGACTTTTCAACCTAATCCAAGCTACGGCCAGAGGTTTTAAGTTTAAGTCAGATGTGAAACTGATTTTTATTCTTATTTTCTTTGTGTAGTCTGATTGCACCTGATTTTTAAAAAAAAAGTATGTATTGATTAATCCCTTGAATAATTTATACACCGCTCAGACAAATCTATTTACCCTGGATATACTTTCTAAAGTGATGTTGCTGTGAAAATGGAACTTGACCCCCCAAAAAACAAAGTAATACAACATGTATTTTTATCAAACTTTTATAACTTGCCAATATTTATTTATAGTATTAGTATAGAGAGGATGAGTCTCCCAAAGAGAAACATTAGGAGTGCAAATCAATCATTACAAATCACTGGAGAGAAATTTTGACTGTATAATTTTAAGTAGAATATTTTTTATACTGGTACCTCTAAATTGTTTTCTATTTCTAGTTTTTATTATTATTATTTTTTTTATAACTTAAAACTTGTGTTTTCACTAACATGGTAAAGATATTTATTTGACTCTACATAGTTTTGACCTGACAACCCATGGCTTCTGGTAATTTCATAATGTATTATTAAACATCATTACCTGTGGATTGGTTAAAATTATTATTTTTCATTCTTGTTTTTGATTTAGTACCCGGTATTTAGTTTTTGCTGGTTATATCTAGTTGTATTTTAACTAAATTTATTAGGAAATGTTTTATTCACAATTGAGATACAAATCCTCATTTTAAATTTAATTTTAAGAATAAAATTGAAAGAATTTCAGTTTCAGATAGAAAAAGACCAGCATAAGGCAATGCATTTAAAACCATTCAGCTTTATTAATTAATAAATATATTTTTAATATTTTTTAAAGAAATTAAAATAAGATGAATTGCCAAACATGTACACCGTGGTGTCTTGTTTAGTGACAAGTTTTTTTCTCAAAATCTTGTCTGTTATCAAAGTTGCTTAGGTGCAATCTTAACCCATGAAGCATACTGGCTTAACGGTTATATTAAGCTCACCATAATAAATAACAGTAGCACATGTTTTATTTTGTTGGGTAACTTACATTCATATTTGACTCATACATACTGAAGTCTAAATGAATGTCTCTATAAGCTGAGGCCCAATAGGAAATAGAGCAAATAGCACAACGGCCAGCTTTCTGTGAATTTTAGATAAGTTATGTGACGCCTTCTTCATGTAAGTTCTGCCATTTTTATGGAATCCTAGCAATTTTATCTCATCCGGAAATACATTGGCTAGCTCTCTGACAACTCTCTGATCTATTTCTTTATCTGAATCTTGTACCTTTCAAACAATAGTATGAGAATAGAAAATAAATTGAAATCAAATCCCATATAAGTGGATCTTAAAATTTCAATACCAGAGATAGTGATACCAGTAACTAAATATGATAATGAAATGTGTCACTTCAATTACTTAATAGCAGTAGCATAAAATAAAATTAATGGTGTTAGTACTGTTTGGTCTCAAACTACATTATTTTTAAAAAATATCGGTAAATAATAATAATAATGGAACATTGAAATAATGACAAGATATATTGTAAAACCTAACTTATTAAGAAAGTGTTGTGAATATTTACCAAACTAAAGAAAAGCCTTGCCTGGTCCTGTAAGAGATGCAGCACCAAGCGTTGTAATTCCAAGTCCAGATCTAATGTGAGAGAAGTGTAGCGCTTTTATCGGCGATGTTCATCTCTTTAATAATTTTTTTTTTTAATAACCCAATGAATATCGTTAATATCACAGTCACAGACCACTATGATATTCTTTCTATAGAATATAAATATTGTCTTTAACTTGAACATAAAATCCGGAGGAATAGAATAAAATAAAGAATTGTAAACATAGTTATTACCGGTACTATTTTGGTTAACAAGTTGTAATGAAATCTAGAAATTAGTTCCATTAACACATAAAATCAAATATGTTCAATATTAGTGGCATAGACTGATGGAGCCAACATTTTGAAAGATCCATTTCTGAAGTTATATTACTGCTTATCAGCATTTTCCACAGGGATGAATGATACTGATAGCATCTTTGCCATTTACCTTGAAATAAAGATAAGAGCAGCAGCATGCCATTGAGCGCATGTAACATGACTCCTTGACCAAGACCGATGTAGATGTGTTCAATAGAGTGCCGGCCATCGGGCTCTTCAGTTTCAAAACCTACAGAGTAAAATTGAGTTATTGTGAGTACCGGTATTTGATCAGCTTTACGGTTGCTGGATGAAAGTATCATCAGCGTATGATAACAATGTTATAACTTAACACCGGAAGGGGGGGGGGGTTAATCCAAAAATTTTATCAGCACTATTTGCAGGATGAAAATGAAAGCAAAAGCAGTGTATGAAATATCGTAGTTATAACGTGTCACTCCCTCGTAGTGTGGGGGTGGGGGTGTTTTATATGTTTTTAAAGTGTGTTGTTTTTGGTTTTTTTTTTTGTTTTTTTTTTGGGGGGGGGGGGGCTTTAAGTGTTAAATTAACAAGATTATAATCAATTAATACAATTTTTTGGGGGTTTATTTTGCGTCGTCTTAACTAGGCGACTATTTTTTTAAAATTTTTTTTTTTTTTTGTGTGTTTTTTTTTTTGTTTTTTTTTTTTTTTTTTTTTTGGGGGGGGGGGTGCATTAAGTGTTAAATTAACAAGATTATAATCAATTAATACAATTTTATGGCGGCTTACTTTGCGTCGTCTTAACTAGGCGACTATTATTTTAAAACAACTAAGCCTTGGGTTTAAATCGATAAATAAACTTCCAGTTATTAAATTTTATGTCAGTCTATAAAATTTCAACCTGAAGGCTACAGATTCTCCATTACTACTATTAGAACATGCTCAAGAAATATGGCTGTTTTACCTAGTGCTATAAGTAGACTCTTCCAACTACCTAAATCAAGTAATTCGGGCGCTCGTTGGTGGTCGAATGTTAATTCATACTTGCCGTTGAATAAGGCATCTTTCCCCTGAGAAATCTGCAATTAAAGAGAAAAAGACGTTAGTCAACATCACTCTGAAAAGTTATTTTGATGAAAAATATTCTAACTACTAAATTAAAAACGTTTGTGATTCAGCACCACCCATTTTTTATCCATTCATCGCCACGAGAATTGTAGGTCTATTCAGGATAAAAGATTATTTCATCTAGTATTTAGTAAACTCATAGCAGACATATTAATACTATTTAACCCCCCCCCTCTCCCCTCTGCAGATGTTATTTATAGTCCATTTGAAAATTGTATTATCGAAAGCCTAATGACAGGTTATCATCATAGCCTTCTTCCATTAATTTGGCAAATGGAAACATTAGATGCCATAAAGTTCCCCTGTGTCAAAGAATGTTGAACAGGCGGACAAGGCCGTCCATTAATTACGTCAACAATTTTAAGCAATTTTTGAACCCCGAACCCCCCCCCCCCCCCCCCACCCCCTCCACACCCCCCAAGACCCCCCCCCCCCCCTTCAACAATTTTAAGCAATTTTTGAACCCCGAACCCCCCCCCCCCCGGCCAAAAACTGTCAAACTTTCAATGACCCCCCCCCCCCCAAGTAATTATGTCAACATGTCAAACCCCACCCTACTTTAAAAAATGAATTATAATACAAATAAAAAAATATAACTACATTTTGCTTTGTGCTGATCTATATTTATAACATAAAATTGTAGGGAAAACATGTTATTGCATCTTTAGCTTGTTAATCAACAAGTTAACATTTTATGGCATCTTTAGCTTGTTAATCAACAAGTTAACATTTTATATTACTAAAAAAAAAAATTAATTATATCATTATTTTAATTTACAAAAAAAAAATTGTTAATGTAATAAGCAGTCAATTTTTAAGATAAACATTTTAATAGAGAAAAATGATTGTTGTCGTCAACTAATCGAATCCTCTCCCCCTTGTCAACAATTGTTAAACATTTCCACCCCCCCACACCCCATTTTGTTGACGTAATTAATGGACGACCCCTAATAACTATAACAGGATTTAAATAAAAAGTCCTCTGTTATCATAACAGTGGGAATAAAAAGAAATATATCGAATAGAGGAAGTTATTCCTTAATCGTACCCTCGGTTTTAATATTAAACATTTACATAATAGCCTAGTTTAATTAATTTTATTTACGCTAGCTGTAATCCTTATATGTGTGTTCTTAAATATGACTTAGCTTTTATGTAAACTATAGGCTTACATGTGTGTTCGATACACGTTCAAAAAAAAAACACACACACACACATACAGATGCATGTGTGTTCCAAAGACTCAGATAAACACACGCACACAGATTTATATTTGTTCCATATACAAACACACGCACACATACGGATACATGTGTTTTCTATACACTCACACAAAAAGATGCATGTGTTTTCCATACACTCACACTAACACACACACAACCACAGGTGCATGTGTTCCATACACTCACACAATTTCACACACGCAGATGCGCATGTGTTCCATACACTCACACACACAGATGCATATGTGTGTTCTTAAATATGACTTAGCTTTTATGTAAACTATAGGCTTACATGTCGTGTGTTCGATACACGTTCAAAAAAAAACACACACACACACACATACAGATGCATGTATGTTCCAAAGACTCAGATAAACACACACACACAGATGCACATGTGTTCCATACACTCACACACACAGATGCACATGTGTTCCATACACTCACACACACAGATGCACATGTGTTCCATACACTCACACACACAGATGCACATGTGTTCCATACACTCACACACAGAGATGTACAGTAGATCACAGCATCTCCCCGAGCACTTCTAAGAAAGAACTCACCACGTGTTCTAGGAATGCCAACGTACGTCTCATGTCCACTTGAGTGAAACATGACCTCAACATATTCAGCAGATGATCTTGCCATATCTCCGTTGGCCTTGTCTGCTCCAACATACGGTTTATCTCCTCGAAGGGGTCTTCATCTGTAAGTATTGAGGTCATACATTAGCCCAAAAGTGTGTCTTACAACAATCCTCCAATCCGTGCCATCGGAGTTTAGGAACGAGTCTAACCCTAACACATTAAGACACCAAACTTTTGATTATAACGTGTTCATTATTAATCACCTAAAAAGGATTTGCTCGCATAATAAATGCGATGGACCTCATATTATATCAAACGTTCTCTTAAAAAAAAAATCTTTGTCAAACACTTATACCCATTTTTGTAATATGTTTTTGCAGATTTAAAAACATGCAACGCGTTCACTTTGGCTTTGTAACCACGCACAGGACGCGAAGGGGGCAGCCACCCCATGTGCCAACATAAGGGTGGCACCGAAATGGTCGATTCCTGCTCGCCGGAATGAACCACGAGGAGCAGTTTGTAGACATTTTATCCTACACTAACTAAAACAAAAAGTAAAAGGTACGGTACAGAGAAAGGGGGAAAAACGTAGAACTTAGTAGAATATCAAATGTTCAACAAACCTTTAATGCTAAACCGACGCGTCGCTTGTTGATGTTGACTTAGCGTCGAAGTCATGACTCTTCTATTCAATGATATCCGACTCTTCTATTCAATGATATCCGACTCTTCTATTCAATGATGTCCGACTCTTCTATTCAATGATGTCCCACTCTTCTATTCAATGATGTCCCACTCTTCTATTCAATGATATCCCACTCTTCAATTCAATGATATCCGACTCTTCAATTCAATATCTGCCTACAAAATAACTTCAAATCAGCATACTCTTATTCTATGGCAAATGTGGTCGTAAAATAAATGTCCGTTTTTAACACATCTCTGCCAGAAATTATGTTACACTGGTAGACCACCGATTTTAATCTTTATCTCTACTCTGAGTCAGGTCTGAATCAACCAACAATCTTATAGTCTCCAGAATATGTTTTATTTTTAGATTCAACCACGTGAGGGGGGATCCCTCTTACCTGGAAATTCCCGGAAGAAAAAAAAAAGTTTTCTCAACAGAGGAGACCTGACTTGACGTAGACGAAACTAAGCTGTCTCATAAACAGGACTGGATGTGGGTTTAAAATGCCCCCCCCCCACCCCTTCTTGTCGCAGCCATGTCACCATAACCGGATACAAAAGGTATCCGTGGCTACTCCTTAACATGACCCAAGCGTATGTCTTAATCCAGCCTGACCTTAGCTCAGAAACCTTACACTCTAAATATTTAATACAAGGCCTATCCACTGGTAACCTTACATGCAGTTTTGTGCAGCGGCGTATAACTCGACTAAATACCATCAAATCATCGAAAAGTGCGCCCCCCCCCCCAATACAGACACACACGTCGTTTATGTATTATATAGCCTAAAAAGTTTATATATAAACCCAAAACAGTGTCCGCCCCCCCACCAGGGTGGTCACCCATTTGCACCACCACAGGTGCGCCACTGGGCATGTGACCCAAGTTAAAAGAACGATAAAGTTGCATAATAAAATGGCATGTGATAAAGACACCATGCTGCACCCTTCCCAGTGTTGGTGTAGAAAATGGGTGGGGCGAGATCAATCAATGAACACGTCATAGGAACACGTCACGAGCGCGTGTTCAATATACAAGAATTATCCAACCAGGAAGGGTTCGTTTATTTATATCTTCTAAGCAGGGATCGCCATATCTGTTGTATCAGTTTCTCAATGATCTTTAAGAGCCACAATATACGTACACGAAGTCTTAAATAAATAATCCATTTGTGCTTGCATATATAGAGCGAAAAGGATTAAAAGGACACCCCCCCCCCCCCCCCCCCCCCCCTTTTTTTTTTTTTTTTTTTTTTAATTCCGTGGGACAAATTATTGAATACTATTGGAAAAAATTTCGAAATTTTTAGATGTAATAATAGCCAACCTGCACCCGCACAGTTTGGGAACCTCTGTTTCAGTGCCATTTATCTCCCGTTCTGTAAATGTGGTGGGTTACTGTGAGGGATATGCTTAGTGCCATGCAGCTTGCGTGATGGTGGTTCCCAAAATTAAAGAACACTGCGCTCAGCCTCAAACACAATACTTTTGGGCTTAAACTGAAACTTAATGACGTAAACTGTAGCCTTATTTAAAAATCTACCAGAGTGGGGCTATTTTTTTTTGGGGGGGGGTGTTCGGGGCGCACCCCTCTATAATGCACCACTGCTTATGGCCGATGTCCACCAAAACCTTTCCCACTTTTTTTATTTTTTATTTATATCCTCAGTCCATTGCTTTCCAAATTGTGCGTCGCGATATACAGTAGTTTGTCGCATGTGTCGAGTATGAGCGTTCATTAGTAATTGTTGCGACTCAATATTATGTTCATTAGTTGTTGAACGCTTTTCCCGCGCTTGACTATTATAGTTAGTGAACGCTCTTCCCGCCATTGTCTCTATGACGTATTTTTATGCTGAGTCGTGACGTATTGTCTATGCAAGTATTGTGACGTATGTTTTAGTCATGCGGCAGTCTTGAGTGGAACTTTGAAGGGATATGATGTGTGTTATTTAGGTCTGATAGCGAGCTACGATATATTCAAGTGTATGTGTATTATATTTACTTAGATATTAAAGCTATAGTTATTATGAAGAGGAGTTGAGTTGTTCAATGATAGTGAGAATAGTACGACGCTTCAACGTGTGAAAGAACTGACGAATGTAATCAATCCAAGAAGACGTTAGGAGTTGACAACATGTAGTATGTATGTGACACGCGCGAAAATAAGCCCTACCAACATTTTTAAGACTTGATGAAAGGAGAAAATGTATGTAAAAAGTGGGGCAGTCGGTTAATTATATCAAATTCAAAACACTTCAACCAAGAAAATGTTTCTTAATATAATATGTGAAGAGATGGGTCAAAATTTAAAATGCTGATGACTAGGCCTAGGCCTACACACAGAAAGTCGTAGGCTCCGACGAGGTCAGGTGCTTGTCGTGTCTACACGAATTGAGAAAATGATGCTTACATTTTTTTTTAAAGGGAAATAAGCAAAATGAATGTTGTGATCTAATTCTAAACAAAGTTTGTTCACTAAGTTGGCAATGTGGCATCTTGATCACGCTGACATGTTTGAATATTCGAATAAAATGAACAGCGGCGTGCACAGAAAGGGGGACAATAACTGCGGTATATCAAAATCTGCCGCGTAAGACAAGATAGTCATTTGGAAGGGAAACATGTTAGGAAAAAATTGGGAAAATATTCCAAAAAAAAAAAAAAAAAAACCGAGGGTGTGCTAAAATGGGATGATAGATAGATAGATAGATAGATAGATAGATAGATAGATAGATAGATAGATAGATAGATAGATAGATAGATAGATAGATAGA